ATAGAAAGACAGGGCCTACCAAGAGCACACCAAAAAATGTGAGATGATCACAGGAGCAAGTGACGTTATTCCAACCAGGCTCCCACAGGGTCAGGCAGCCCTCACTGCTGAGTGATACGTCTGACAGACAGACAGATACATTCTGATGCAATCAAAGCTAAAAGGAAACATGGAAGTACATGCTTGCTGCTCTTAACAGATATGTTGTTTGATGCTTACTTGTGGTTGAAAATTTTAAGAACACACACTGGGGTTTCTCTATTTCCTGGAAAATAACATACATGTATCAATGTTGTGTGTTTTTCAGTGTCATTTGTCTCTTAAAGTTATAACTTAAGGAAACAAAGTTTTAGTTACATCTGTGATATACATGGTGATGTTGACTCGTCCAGAGATTTCCCCAGATGAAACTTTCAGACCAACCAGTCTTCTTTTATATAGGCGATTCATTGGTGTCCAATTTGGCTAAAGAAACAAACAAACAACCAAAAAAAAACAAACATTCAAAAATGTTTTTTATCAAGCAAATTCAGGACACTCACTGGTTCACATTTGCACAATATTCCAGAATGTCATTACTGCCTTTACACAATGAACAGTGGTCCATTCACACTGCTTGAGGTCAACGGTCATTTGCATTCTCATCTGAAAACGCTAGCATGTCATGAGGGTTACAGTGCAGTTATGTGTACAAATTCCATCAGAACAATTTAAAAAAATGTTTATTGATTGAAACGTTTCCATGCCAACTTTGGATAAAAATCTCAGACAGTTAAGACCAACTCATCCCTCCTTCTAATGTTTGGTAAAATAACATTTAGTCTTAAGTAGTTGACAGTCTGATCTGTTTTTTGTGCTTTGACAACACTTTCGAACGCACTTCGGCCATAACTTCTGCTTACCTGACTCTCATCTTTAACATTGCGGGACTCTGATTTGCTAAAATTTCCTCACCCGAAGGTTGGAGGAAACTTTCTGATCTCATGAAGCTACTGTGCCATATATACGCAACATTGTTTGGAGAATGCATGATGTGGACAGGGTCTAACAGTTTACCAATCTAGCAATTTATTAAATTATCATAGGGGTAGAAAGATGGAGTAACCACTGGGAACAATCTGTCTGACTCCAGAATGACCTGAATATGTTTTGGTCCTCTAAACCCTTCACAGACTAATGAGACTAATAGGTTTTATGCTTTTTGTTTTCCCACCTTGAAATTATGTTAATGTAAACATGAATTCTCAGACTTTGTAAGGATCAAACTGTCTTTTAATGTTAAAAAAGAAGAAAAATCTAACAGAAAGAAGTTGGAGCCTCTTCTGCTGAGTTACACTGCAAATATGGCTTTAAAATTCAAATTTTTTTTTTTTCTACATAAGCAAAGTTCACACACTAACCTTGTCTGGTAGGAGAAAAGTGCAGAATAGAAGGAATGGGAAATCAGCGCTTATCACTTTTGGTACGTCAACCCTCACTGTGACATTTTCGACAGGTGCTCCTATGCTTAACTAGAAAATGTCCAGAAATGGAGAACTGTTACATTAAAATACATACCACAAAAAATTACTACTGACTTTTATAGTTATATCCTCAATCACTTTAGTTTCTAGCAAACAGTCATTCATTTTAAATCAAACAGTCATTTGTTGTCTCTCATGTAGAATCGCCATAGTGACCTTGAGTTATGTAGTTTTTGATAACAATAAATAGATACATAGATAAACAAAATATCCTTACAGAGTGAAATGCATGATATGATGTTAAACACATAGGTCAATGATAAAAGTTGTGGCCGATATATGAATATAGCTTCTTTGAATGAATGCATGTCTGCCATTAATGCAAAGGCGGTCATTTTTTACCTCACTCGCGCTGGCATAAACTATAATGTCTTTGGAGGGGTCCAACGTGTGCTCGATGCCAACGAAATGGTCGACATGAATTTTTTCTGAATTATATGTAGGGTGTCCCATAGCCGTATCTAGCCCCCGTAAGGCCCTTGTGGAAAATTATGAGAGAAATTATAAAGATGATCTTTATATTTAGAAGAAGCAATTGATTTGGTTAATTATATTGTGTTTCATCTGATGAACAATTGAAATATTTACTTTATAATGACATCAATGGCTCCATTTCTCAATTGGTCCACAAAACTTATCACACAGTCTATTACAAACGAAGGTTGCTGTAAGATATTACACAGTTTATCCGATGGGATATCATCAGAATCAGTGTTGCCACAAAACGGGACAACAGTGATGACCAGCCACCAGACGCAGAACTTCATCCTGTCAGGTAAAAAGAGATTATTAAATAAAAATCTGTGTTTTACAACAGGGTTGCTTTGGAAAAACAACCTTTCGGCCATTATCTTTGTTGTTTTATTGATGCGATAAGTAACAGAGAATAAGTATTTCCAAATAAGTATTTTCAATAGTAATCGGTGGCTTTGGCCTCCCATTAAATAATGCTCACTTTAAAATGCTATTTTCCCTTTCTACGGTAACTCCTTATGTACAGACTGCTGGTAGTTTTATCGGAGGTTGTTTGCGTATCTTTGTAATCAACACATCTCAGGGCCACATTTACTTCCTGTTTCAAACAAAAGGGCAAAATGTTTTATTCAAACCACAGCTGCCCTACTACTACAAGCCGAACCGACCCATGAATCGTTCTCAGTGTATTTTTGTGCAATTTGAAAGATAAATAATACAGATGTCTGAGAAGGACTGAACTGTATATCAGGTGGCATGTGTTATATCTCCTCATGCAGCCCTGGGTGGAACACTTACTTAACGGCTTGTAAAAAACACCTTCAGTCACAGTACCTTTATCTGGCATGCACAAAAAACCTATGTAGCTGTATGTAGAGCAATCTAAGACCATTATGTTCCTCCTGGAAACATTGTCTCTTTTTTAGTTTCTCTAGAAGCATTGGGGGTGAACTTTGTTTTCATAGACATTACATGTTAGCTAAATTTTCATTTGTGTTACAATGTTTTTAAGGTTTACCACTAGAGGAACACAAGGTGATGGTTTAATGGTTCATAACTCCCACATTTTCTGTATTAGTTTTTAAAAGCCCTCATTTACATTTATTTTCAACACTTGTATCCTTGAGGATGTGAGTGTGTGTGGTTGTTTTTCTCTGTGTGACCCTGTGAGGGACTGGCCTAGCAACCTGTCCATGGTGTATTCCACCTTACGCCAGTTGTCAAGTGGGATAGCATTTCGATAATGCTGATAATAGATGGATCTGCACTTGCACATCAATTCTGCCAATCAAATGTAGAAGGAGTAAACACACTCGTAAGCATCAGAATCAAAGCAAAGAATGGAGGGAATATTTTTCTGAAGGATGAACCCATTAATAAAGTCCAACATGTGTAATAAATGCGAAATTGTTTAGCATTTAATCTCTCTGGCGAGTCATCATAACTCATTCGACAAAGACAGAAAACACCTACTTCTTTAAAAGAAACTGCAATCTTCATTTTAGTCTTATAGTTTTCTGGACTTTTGTGTTGGCTTTTACCTTGGAAATGCGTACATGACCTGCGCTTGCCATAGTTTACCAACATTAATGTTCTCAAGCTCCACCTCAGAACAGAAAATACATGTTACAGAGCAAAAATGTCCAGCCCATATTTTTAACATAGAGGCCATTTACAAACCTGACATGATGTCAGAGACCATATCAGAATTAAAACATGTCACTCACCATCCTTACTGTTTCAGTGGACCAGATTAAAAGAGTCAAAGCAAATGGGTGAACTCATTTCTAATATTTCTTTCCTTAGAATAATATTTTAAATTTGCATCTTTGCACTTCAGGTCAAAAGAGAATAATTTCTTACCTTTGCATTTAGCTGATTTCTGGTTATTATCTCAATGAAATGTACAGAATGAGACAAGCTGATGGGAAAGTACCAAGCTGGAAAAATCTAATCGTCAAGAAACATTCAATCATCTAAGGATAAAAGAATACATCAAAAAGTCCAGCTAAACATCTCTTTTTCACGACTGAATCCACAAACAAAAGCTCGATTGATTGTAGGCCTTCCTTCAGTTGTGATTGCTTGTCTGGCAATCTGTCCTGCCCAGGCCTGTGAGTGGCATATGGCCACTCCCACAAATAGAAAGGGGGAAGAACAGCAAAGGTTTCACAAACTTGTTTTTCAAGTCATCTCACCGCATTTATTAACAGTTACCACGGTCCATTTGAATTTCCTGCCTTTCTTATTTGAGAGCAACGGACGCCATCTGCCTTCTGTCATTGCCATTTGCTCTGGTGGGTAGCTAAAGGGTCCCTAGAAAAGCTCTCACTGATGCATTCATCTAGTTGCTGT